AGAACAAGCAACACCACCCGAACCCGTCGTCTGGCCATTACGAATTCTGCAGTGGAACATACAAGGTCTTGGAAATAAAAAACACACACTTCAGGAGGCTGCAATCAGCACGAAAGCAGATATCATCGTTTTGGAAGAAACTCTTTTCCCAGCCACGAAATCCTTCAGATTAGCTGGATATCAGCACTATGTTCTCCCGTATGAGCAGGGGAGACTAAGAGGATTAATGACCCTAGTCAGAAACACCATACCCAGCAAGAAAATAGACTCGGTTTCATGTGGGGATGGAGTAGAGGTATTAGCAGTTACAGTGAATATGGCTAATTTTGAGCTCCTCATATACAACGTCTACAAGCCCCCTAGACGTAAACTAGAAGCAGAGGCAGTGCTTGCCTTAGCCACGCAGGAAAATTTAATTATTGCTGGAGATTTTAATGCTCATCATCCAGAGTTAGGTGCAACTGGGCCAGCCAATGCAGATGGGCGCCATTTAGCTGCAGCTCTGCGAGAAGTACCTGAAATTACACTTCTCAACACTGGGGAACCCACTCACATTCTAGGAGGTTCCCTTGATCTTACATTTATCTCCACAACACTCCAGCAACAGGCGAAGTGGGAAGTAGACCCGGTGATCACCAGTGACCACTATGCTACTGTCACGACACTCAACCTGGCACGACCTCCTACACCTCCTGCGCTGCCTCGGTGGAATTTAGGAAAGGCCAATTGGAATGTATACCAGGAAGAACTTGAAAAATGGTATGCAACGTACACGCCACCTGAGGATTTGAACATACACGAGACCAATCTGCAGGAAGCCGTTGCAGCTGCTGCGAACAAAGCTATTCCAATCATTATCACAGGTAACACGAAACGAAAGAACTATTGGTTCTATAGTAATGACGTTAAAGAACAGAACCACAGAGTCAATATCTTCAGAAAACATCTAAAGAGAAACCCCACACCAGAAGGAAGAACTCTGCTACGAGCGGTGATATCTGAAGCAAGGCGAGTTTCTCGAGAAGTAAAGGAGGCAAGATGGTTTGAGTGGTGTCAAACTCTAAATGAACATAGTAGTCTTGGTAAGATATGGGGTCAGATTAAAACTATATCAGGTCGACCAGCCCGGCCACAGGCATGTATTCAACCATTGCAGGAGGCTGAGAGACTTGCTCTCCAATTTGCAGAAAGAACAGCTTCATATCAGCTTCCTGCAATGGTCCGAAGGCAGCAAGAACACTTAAAACAAGAGAGGATGACAGTCATTCATGAGGGCTTAGCTATAATTGACGAATGTGACTGTCCCTTCACCGAACAGGAACTAAGCAGAGCCAAAAAGGGTGGTAAGGACACTGCACCAGGTGCTGATAACATTACATACTCAATGATCGCACATGCAGGTCCTGCTGGAGACCGAGGGATGTTGGACGTCATCAATGCGTCTTGGCAGCAAGGCAAACTACCGCCCTCTTGGAAGAAAGCAGACATCATACCGATTCCTAAGCCGAATGAACCTGGCAATTACAGACCCATTTCCTTAACATCATGCGTTAGTAAAACTGCAGAACGGATGGTCTTAAATAGGCTACTGTGGAAGACTGGAGACCTTCATAAACACATATTTGGCTTCACTAGAGGTGTAGGTACTGCCAACTGCATAGCAACATTACTAGGAACAGTTAACTCGGGTCCAGCTATAGTGGTCTTCCTTGATCTGGAAAAAGCATTTGAACTTGCAAGCCCGCCAGCAATACTACACACCTTAGTTAAAAAAGGTGTGAGGGGGAAAATGCTAGCATGGATTCAAGATTACCTAAGTCACAGGTATGCCAGAGTAAAGTTGCAAGGACAAGTGTCGGACTACCACTTGCACGAGAATGGGACTCCACAAGGAGGAGTCCTCAGTCCTAGTCTTTTTAACATCCTTATGGGAAAACCTTGTTACCATGTCCTTTACAGAAGGGGTTACATTGCTAAGCTATGCTGATGATCTAGCATTAGTCGTTACGGGTCCTTCACTTCTAAATAAAGCTCAAGGTGCTTTAGATCAAGTGACATCTGAATGCAGTGTTTTAGGGCTAAAAATATCTGCACAGAAGTCTAAGGCGATGAGACTAGGTGGCAAGGCTCCAGACAGGCACCTACGCATTCAGGACATTAACCTTCAGTGGGTTCCACAATATCGATATCTCGGAGTGTGGATTGATTTTAAGATGACATTCAATAAGCAAATTCAATATCTAAAGGAGAAAGCAAAGTCACGAATAAATATAATGAGAGCAATCACAGGGCCCCGTCTAGGAGCGGGACACAGAGTGTTGAGAATGTTTTACATACACGCCGTTCGTTCCCTGGTTGATTATGCAGCACCTGCCTTACTCACTCTTTCTCCTGGTCAGTGGGCAAACGTTGAGGTTCTTCAAAATGATGCATTGCGAGTCATAACAGGTGCTCCCAGATGGACTAAAATCCTGAACCTAAGACTAGAGACAAAGCTAACGTCGATTGAAATAAGGGTAAAGGGGATTGCTGCGTGCATGCTGACCAAGATATTGACTAGACCTAGAATCAGTTCACTTAAAGATTTGATCACTGGAGCACTAACTCTGGACAGAAGAGCCTCCAATAGCAACAGGTGGACCCATTGTGCGATAAACGCCATCGATACGTTCGATGTGGCAAACACAGTCACTGAGAGGGGTGTCGACGACATACATGCAGACTTTGTTATACAAGCCCCTTGGGAATCTCTGCCAGCAGACTTTCAGATTATGGCTCTTGATGGAAAGAAGAACCAGACACATCCTCATCTGCTACGTCACATTGCACAGATGCATATAGAAGCAAACATGGCATCCGACAGCTTCACTTACTTCACGGATGGGTCAGTAGACCAGCAGGGACAGGAAACCGGAGCTGCAGTTAAAGCAGGAAACTCTGTATATAGTTGGAGGCTCTCAAATGGGTGTTCGACTTTACAGACTGAGATGCTAGCCATTCAAAAGGCTTTGGAACATGCTCTTGCTGAACACCGCCAACATGTTATCGTCCATACAGATTCGAGAACCGCCATTGAAACCTTGCAACAGGAACACATATGTGATAACATCCATCTGATCACCAATGTCTTATCATTCATGCACACACTCCACCGACAAGGCCGACGGGTGCTTATCAACTGGGTGCCAAGTCATGTGGGACTATTAGGTAATGACATTGCAGACGAAGCTGCAAAACTTGCTACTAAGAGGAGGAATGTAGACATTTACATACCACAGAGTCTCTCCCAGATGAAGAAAGTGATTCGAAACAGAGCAATGCGAAGGCTGTACAGTGACCACAACACAGCAGTTGCAACATCAGGATCTGCGGGTTGGTACAAGAATTCCACCAACTACGAACCACTTAGTTTGATGAACGGGGGCAGTAGAACAACAGAAGTGCACTTACATCGCATCAGGCTTGGATACCCATGTGCATGGGAAATAGGCTTACGGGTTCCGGAAGGTGAGAGGAAATGTCAACACTGTGGAGAAATGCCCGACAGACCACTGGAACATTATCTAACACAGTGCACAGTTACAAACCCGTTAAGATTTCACCTTCGATTCGACAGAGCTGAGGAAGTTGTTAAACACATATGGCAAAATCTTACTGAAGCGACCATACGGGTCATACATACTCATCCTCCGCCCAGGTAAAACAGAAACGAGCATCACTTAGTGGGCCAGCCAGAGGCTTAGGGCCCGCGCAGGATTATCCCTGCTAAAAAGAAAAAAAAAAAAAAAAAAAAAACTTACCGACTCTGACATAGACATACAACTCCTCCTAAAATAGGGTTGATTTTCTGATTTTCTAAGCACCACCTCACCAGAGGTCAGCACCAGCTACCTCTCGAGCTGACTAGGACAGGAATCTAGCGCCTCTGGCAGGTATAATCCTGTCACCACTAGATGGCGTCGTCCATGTTGTGGGGGGTTCGGGAGCGGCCTCACAGATGTCATTGACGTCGCTGCTCCGGGCTCCGACGAGGGAATCGGGTTCATAACACTGGGCTACTAGTGTAGGGGACTGGGATACTAGAGTATTGGACTGGGATACTATTGCATGGGACTGGGATACTAGAGCATGGGTCTGGGATACTAGAGCTTGGGTCTGGGATACTAGAGCATGGGTCAGTAATAATAGAACATGTGACTGGGTTACTAAAGCATGAGACTGGGATACTTGAGAACGAGACTGGGATTCTTAAGTTTGGTACTATGATACAAGGGCATAGTACTGGGATACTAGATCTTGGGACATGGATATTAGAGCTTGGGACTAGGATACTTGAGAATGGGACTGGGATGCTAGATTATGGTACTGGGATACTAGAGGATAGTACTGGGATACTAGAGCATGGGACTGAGATACCAGAGCATGGGTCATGGATTCTAGAGCATAGGGACTGGGATACTAGAGTATGGGTCTCTGATACTAGTGCATAATACTGGGATACTAGGGCTTGGAACTGGGATACTTGAGCACTGGACTGGGATGCTAGATTATGGGACTGGGATACTAGAGAATAGTACTGGGATACTAGAGCATGGGACTGGTATTCTAGAGTATGGGACTGGGATATTAGAGGATATTACAGGGATACTAAAGCATGGGACTGGGATACTAGAGTATGGGGTGGGGATACTAGAGCATTGGACTGGGATATTAGAGCTTGGGACTTGGATACTTGAACATGGGACTGGGATACTAGAGTATCTGAATGGGATACTAGAGCTGGGGACTGGGATACTAGAGCATTGGTCTGGGATACTAGAGCTGGGGCCTGGGATACTAGAGCATTGGATTGGAATACTAGAGCAAGGGCCTGGGATACTAGAGCATTGGACGGGAATACTAGAGCTGGGGCCTGGGATACTAGAGCATTGGACTGGAATACTAGAGCAGGGAATTGTCATTATTTCTCAATTTATATTATTTTTCTGATTACTTTCAAGTCGTGGTGTCCCAGTTTAAGTACAACAAATACAGCAATGAAGACAGCAGTCAACGTAAGTAAACGAGTCTTGTGTATTTGTCAAACTAAGTAAACAAGTCTTTAGTATATGTTAAAACTCAGTAAACAAGGTTTGTGTATGTTTCAAAAATTAACTAGTCTTGTATATTTGTGAAAAATAAGCAAACTCTTGTCTATTTGTAAACTAAGAAAACAAGTTTTGTGTATTTGTCTAAATAAGTACTTATGAAGCAGTTTTAACATATTATATATAAACATCAGTATTTGGGTTTATTCGAGTTGTCCTGGCCCCAGAGAGGACACGACATCTGGCCCTGATAAGGGAAAACTTCTTTTTCTGCCCTCAGAAGGTACACTTGATATCCGGCCCTCAGATGGGGCAGTTATTTTATCCTGCCCTTAGAGGGTACATCTGTTGTACTGCCCATATGGGGGACACTTAATGCTTTCCAGCCCTCAGAGAGTACACCTGTCTTCCTGTGACAGAGAGGACATCTGTTTTTCTGCTCTAAGAGAGATTTTACTTGCAATTCTGCCTTCAGAAGGGGCACGTGTTATTCTGCCCCTAGAGGGAACACGTATTATTCTGTCCTCAGAGGGTCCTTCTTTTATCCTTAATTAAGAGGAAAATTCTATTATCCTACCCTCAAACGGGATACCTGCTATCCGGCCCTCAGGAGGTAACCTTTCATCTTGCCATTAGATAGGATACCTGTTATCTTTCCCTCCGAGGAGTAACCTTTCATCCTGTCATTAGATAGGATACCTGTTATCTTTCCCTCAGAGGGGTATCCTTTCATCCTGCTATTAGATAGGATACCTGTTATCTTTCCCTCAGAGAGGTATCCTTTCATCCTGCCCTTAGATAGGATACCTGTTATCTTTCCCTCAGAGGGGTATCCTTTCATCCTGCTATTAGATAGGATATCTGTTATCCTTCCCTCAGAGGGGTATCCTTTCATCCTGTCCTTAGAGTGGAAACTTGTTATCTTGGCATCAGATGGGCAACTTTTGATTCTGCCCTTAGAGTGGATACTTGTTATCTTGTCCTCAAAGGGGTAAGTTTTCAACCTGCCCTCAGAGGTAACACCTGCTATCGTGTCCTCATTGGCACATTCACCAAATGCGTTAACATGGAATAATGCCTAATTAAACATTCTAGTTTTCATTCTTGTTTATTTATGTATAAAAAATGAGTGTCTCTCTCTATCCACCATTATGCACTACTCTCTCTCTCTCTCTCTCTCTCTCTCTGTCTCTCTCTCTCTCTCTGTCTGTCTGTCTCTCTCTCTCTCTCTGTCTCTCTCTCTCTCTCTCTCTCTCTCTCTCTCTCTCTCTCTCTCTCTCTCTCTCTCTCTCTCTCTCTCTCTCTCTCTCTCTCTCTCTCTCTCTCTCTCTCTCTCTCTCTCTCTCTCTCTCTCTCTCTCTCTCTCTCTCTCTCTCTCTCTCTCTCTCTCTCTCTCTCTCTCTCTCTCTCTCTCTCTCTCTCTCTCTCTCTCTCTCTCTCTCTCTCTCTCTCTCTCTCTCTCTCTCTCTCTGTCTCTCTCTCTCTCTCTCTCTCTCTCTCTCTCTCTCTCTCTCTCTCTCTCTCTCTCTCTCTCTCTCTCTCTCTCTCTCTCTCTCTCTCCACAATGTTGTACATCTGTGCCCGTGAGACTGCCTGATACCCTCCATCTTGCAGCAGAGCCGTGGTCACCTCACACAAGACCGTCCATCCAGGATAACATCTACGAGGAGTGGCAGGAGCGCCCACCTGCCGCCGGAGCCTCCCACAACAGCAGCACAAACAGCATCTACGGTCAGGTGGTGAACCTCCCGGGGAAACACCAGCTGCCCTCCGACGGGAATCCAAACTATTAGTTACTCCACTATGTCAGGCACAGCAACAGCGAGCACTAAGAACAGTCTAGCCTGTGATAGTGTTACGGCAAGAACAGTCTAGCCTGTGATAGTGTTACGGCAAGAACAGTCTAGCCTGTGATAGTGTTACGGCAAGAACAGTCTAGCCTGTGATAGTGTTACGGCAAGAACAGTCTAGCCTGTGATAGTGTTACGGCAAGAACAGTCTAGCCTGTGATAGTGTTACAGCGAGAACAGTCTAGCCTGTGATAGTATTACGGCAAGAACAGTCTAGCCTGTGATAGTGTTACGGCAAGAACAGTTTAGCCTGTGATAGTGTTACAGCGAGAACAGTCTAGCCTGTGATAGTATTACGGCAAGAACAGTCTAGCCTGTGATAGTGTTACGGCAAGAACAGTCTAGCCTGTGATAGTGTTACGGCAAGAATAGTCTAGCTTGTGATAGTGTTAAGGCAAGAACAGTCTAGCCTGTGATATTATTACAGCAAGAATAGTCTAGCCTGTGATAGTGTTACGGCAAGAACAGTCTAGCCTGTGATAGTGTTACGGCAAGAACAGTCTAGCCTGTGATAGTGTTACGGCAAGAACAGTCTAGCCTGTGATAGTGTTACGGCAAGAACAGTCTAGCCTGTGATAGTGTTACGGCAAGAACAGTCTAGCCTGGCATAATAACACAGTAAGAACAGTCTAGCCTGGCATAATAACACAGTAAGAACAGTCTAGCCTGGCCTAGTAACACAGTAAGAACAGTCTAGCCTGGCCTAGTAACAAAGCAAGAACAGTTTAGCCTTACTTAATAACACAGCAAGAACTGTCTAACATGTCACAGTTATACAACAAGAACAGTCTGGCCTGGTACAGTAATATAGCAACAAACTTTCTGGCCTGCTATAGTTACAGAAGAATAACAGTGTAGCCTAGTATAGTAACATAGCAAGAACAGTGTAGCATGGCATAGGGACATAGCAAGAACAGTGTAGCCTGCCATAGATAAATAGCAAGAACAGTGTAGCATGGCAAAGGAACAAAACAAGAACAGTGTAGCCTGGCATAGTTACATAGCAAGAACAGTGTAGCCTGGCATAGGAACATAGCAAGAACAGTGTAGCCTGGCATAGGAACATAGCAAGAACAGTGTAGCATGGCATAGGAACATAGCAAGAACAGTGTAGACTGGCATAGGAACATAGCAAGAACAGTGTAACCTGGCATAGGAACATAGCAAGAACAGTTTAGCCTGGCATAGGAACATAGCAAGAACAGTGTAGCCTGGCATAGGAACATAGCAAGAACAGTGTAGCCTGGCATAGGAACATAGCAAGAACAGTTTAGCCTGGCATAGGAACATAGCAAGAACAGTGTAGCCTGGCATAGGAACATAGCAAGAACAGTGTAGCCTGGCATAGTTACATAGCAAGAACAGTGTAGCCTAGCATAGTTACATAGCAAGAACAATGTAGCCTAGCATAGTTACATAGCAAGAACAGTGTAGCCTGGCATAGTTACATAGCAAGAACAGTGTAGCCTGGCATAGGAACATAGCAAGAACAGTGTAGCCTGGCATAGGAACATAGCAAGAATAGTGTAGCCTGGCATAGGAACATAGCAAGAACAGTGTAGCATGGCATAGGAACATAGCAAGAACAGTGTAGCCTGGCATAGGAACATAGCAAGAACAGTGTAGCCTGGCATAGGAACATAGCAAGAACAGTGTAGCATGGCATAGGAACATAGCAAGAACAGTGTAGCATGGCATAGGAACATAGCAAGAACAGTGTAGCCTGGCATAGGAACATAGCAAGAACAGTGTAGCCTGGCATAGGAACATAGCAAGAATTGTTCATCAGAATGGTTATTTCATTGTTCAGAAATAACATTCAGTTGAATGTGTCCTGTAATTAATTTGAATATATAAATGTTCATTGCTTTGTTAGCATTTCTGTTATATGCATTATATTTTGAAATTTTTATATAAAGTTAAAATGAACATTTGAGTTTTGTGATAAAATTGTATAATTAGTTTGATTTTGGTCTTAGCTGCCGGAGTCTCGAGGTCTGGGCACAAAGAGCGTGCCCAGTCCTCGAGGTCATGGGCGTACCCAGTCCTCGAGGTCATGGGGGTACCCAGTCCTCGAGGTCAAGGGCGTGCCCAGTCCTCGAGGTCAAGGGCGTACCCATTCCTCGAGGTCATGGGCGTACCCAGTTCTCGAGGTCATGGGGGTACCCAGTCCTCGAGGTCAAGGGCGTGCCCAGTCTTCGAGGTCAAGGGCGTACCTAGTCCTCGACGTCAAGGGCGTACCTAGTCCTCGAGGTCAAGGGCGTGCCCAGTCCTCGAGGTCAAGGGCGTGCCCAGTCCTCGAGGTCAAGGGCGTGCCCAGTCCTCGAGGTCAAGGGCGTGCCCAGTCCTCGAGGTCAAGGGCGTGCCCAGTCCTCGAGGTCAAGGGCGTGCCCAGTCCTTGAGGTCAAGGGCGTACCCAGTCCTCGAGGTCAAGGGCGTGCCCAGTCCTCGAGGTCAAGGGCGTGCCCAGTCCTCGAGGTCAAGGGCGTGCCCAGTCCTCGAGGTCAAGGGCGTACCCAGTCCTCGAGGTCATGGGCGTACCCAGTCCTTGAGTTCAAGGGCGTGCCCAGTCCTCGAGGTCAAGGGCGTGCCCAGTCCTTGAGGTCAAGGGCGTGCCCAGTCCTTGAGGTCAAGGGCGTGCCCAGTCCTCGAGGTCAAGGGCGTGCCCAGTCCTCGAGGTCAAGGGCGTGCCCAGTCCTCGAGGTCAAGGGCGTGCCCAGTCCTCGAGGTCAAGGGCGTGCCCAGTCCTCGAGGTCAAGGGCGTACATAGCCCACGAGCACTGGGTAAGAATTGCAGGCAAGAAAGTGTTTTGACACGATTCAAAGATGAAAACCAATGAACTCAAGTGACTGTCAAAAGTTTAGTATAAAAAATTATAGGAGGGACTTGTGCATCAGTCTAGCAAACACCCTAAAGATGTACTCAGTCAAAAACTTTATTTTAAATGATTGTACTGTACATATATAATTGGGAAAGTATTTACATAGAAAGTAATGTACATTAGTTACATAAGAGAGCCACAATACCTGCAGACCACGGAGACAGAATCTTGGATAATCAGAAAGTCAGAATCAGAAACGTAAAAGGTTAACATAATGTACAAATCATATCAACGCTGGCTTGACTAAACAGGAGTATTGCAATCCTAATCACAAATTATATTTCAGGCATAAAGAGTTACATATAGCTAAGAATGAAAAAAAATTATATATTGTATATACACAATATAAATCACAAAATTATGGTGATGAGACAATCATTCCTTGATGCTGGATATATCAGCTCACCGTCAGCATTCTACATCAATAGATTTATGCTATCCTGGCTCAGAATAACTCCAAATACACAGCTCACTTGACATCAATTTGACTTCAGTTGGACTCAAGATAATTCATCTCTCCCTGTAATCCATCTCTCTGTGGCATTAATTACGTAATCATTCCAAATGTCCGGCCGCGGGTCCTATTGCTTTCCCTGCAGCGGAAAACTTCCCTGTCGACCCGATACCCCAGTAAGAATATTACTCATTCTTAACTTGTATTTCCCAACAATTAAGATTATATTTCTGGAAAAGTATGAGTAGTCTATAATGACTGAGCGTCTAAACAAAATAAACACAACGAGTGAATTGAGTTTATTAGATGGGTGATTCCTTTCAGACAAAAATGACATCATTCACTTCTGAATTATTCCTCAAGTGTGGGTGTAGATACCAGGGGCCAGATTCACGAAAGCACTTACGCAAGCACTTACGAACGTGTACATCTTTCCTCAATCTTTGACAGCTTTGGTTACATTTATTAAACAGTTTACAAGCATGAAAACTTGCCATTCAACTGTTATTATTGCTACAAACATCCTCCTGGTGCTTCGGAGCTCATCAACTGTTTAATAATTGTAAACAAAGCCGCCAAAGATTGAGAAAAGATGTACAGGTTCGTAAGTGCTTTCGTGAATCTGGCCCCAGGCCAGGGAGGAGAGTGCAAGGAGTGCGGGGATAAGAAGTAAGTATATTTCAAAGAAAATTGGTAACAAGTCCACTTTAGTGTTCAGAAAAGATAGATATAATTGTGCTAACAGAAAAAATGAAATAATGAAGAAAACACCTGCAGGCATAACACCAAGATCTTCTATAATATATCCAGAGAAAATTGAATTATTTAAAATATGTCTCATTTCCCAGTTTTTATCAGTTAACTGACTTGTCTAATAATTCAATGGCATAGTCTTCTTCCTAAACTTTGTTTGATATATAAATTTAAAAACTAGGATTTGTATTTGCCTTCCCTGCTATATTGAACGACTGTGCTGTACGTACTTGAAATATAGTTTCTTTAAGTTTTCGCATTTCTGTTTAAAGATTCCAAACAAGCTCGACAATATTTAATATTATTACTATTTTAAATTGACTTCACTATCCATAATGCAATCAATACTCATAGGGTAACATTGGTGATGATTTATTGAAGACATTAGCGAGTAACGAAGAGGTGGGATCGCTGCATTGTTTTACCACATTTTTATATGTTTTAACCACATGTTTATGTCGTACCTAGTAGCCAGAAAGCACTTCTCAGCCTACTATGCAAGGCCCGATTTGCCTAATAAGCCAAGTTTTCATGAATTAATTGTTTTTCGACTACCAAACCTACCTAACCTAACCTAACCTAACTTTTTCAGCCACTTAACCTAACCTAACCTATTAAGATAGGTTAGGTTAGGTTAGGTAGGGTTGGTTAGGTTCGGTCATATATCTACGTTAATTTTAACTCCAATAAAAAAAATTGACCTCATACATAATGAAATGGGTAGCTTTATCATATCATAAGAAAAACATTAGAGAAAATATATTATTTCAGGAAAACTTGGCTTATTAGGCAAATCGGGCCTTGCATAGTAGGCTGATAAGTGCGTTCTGGCTACTAGGTACAACATATATATATATATATATATATATATATATATATATATATATATATATATATATATATATATATATATATATATATATATATATGCGAACAAGCCTGAATGGTCCCCAGGACAATATGCAACTGAAAACTCACACCCCAGAAGTGACTCGAACCCATACTCCCAGAAGCAACGCAACTGGTATGTACAAGACGCCTTAATCCACTTGACCATCACGACCGGACAAAATGAGGTGATAGCCGAGGCTATTTGAACCACCCCACCGCCGGCACTCGGATAGTAATCTTGGGCATAATCTTGATAGCCTCGGCTATCACCTCATTTTGTCCGGTCGTGATGGTCAAGTGGATTAAGGCGTCTTGTACATACCAGTTGCGTTGCTTCTGGGAGTATGGGTTCGAGTCACTTCTGGGGTGTGAGTTTTCAGTTATGTATATATATATATATATATATATATATATATATATATATATATATATATATATATATATATATATATATATATATATATATGCTGATGCTGATGCTGATCCTAGCGGTAACAGCACCCCACGCCGGGGATTTTTTATTTGCTGTGCCCAATGCAGCCCTGGGAACTCGCCTCAGTCATGACACTCTCCGCATTGGAGTTGCCCTTCGCCTTGCCGCCCCCATCCTCACCGAACATAGGTGCATCTGCGGAACTGCGATGGCAGACCAATATGGTCGTCATGGTCTGGTATGTCGTAAATCACAGGGTAAAATTGCAAGACATGAAGAAGTCAACAACATCATCAAGAGGAGCCTCGCCACAGCCCGCTGCCCGGCACAAAGAGAACCACACTTATCCAGACCTAACGACCCTCAGAAGCGCCCTGATGGGGTCACCTTGCTACCTTGGAAGGATGGTAAGCAAGTGGTATGGGACTACACGTGCGCTGTCACACTGGCCAGTACCTACCTCCACTACAGCACACGTGAAAGCGGTGGTGCTGCTTCTTTCAGGGAATCGCAGAAAATTATTAAATACAGAGGTCTAGCACACTGCTACAGCTTTGTTCCGATCGGCTCGGAGACCCTCGGTTCGTGGGGAAAATGTGCATTGAAGTTCCTGAAGGAATTGGGGGACAAATTGATCAGCGCTACAAAAGACCAGAGAGCAAAAAGTTTCTTGTTCCAGCGCCTCCTTGTTGCGATTCAGAGGGGAAATGTCTGTTGCGTCTTGGGCACTAGTCCAACTTCAGAGGAATTCGAAGAAGTGTTTGACTTGCAACAATGATCGAACCCGTCTGTGACATTCATCAATGTTTCCCATTGTTGTGTTCTTCAAGAGATCCATAACCTTTAAGCACCTTTTTGCATTATTATTTTTGTATCAACCCATGTATATCTTGTAGCCATCAAATGCATAATAAAGCACAAAAAATATTCAAGGAAGGGGGTGGTAGGAGAAAAGCACACAGAAACTGTATTGGAGGGGATCTAAACATTCCCTCTAATGCGTTATGCGTGGTTTCCTCCGAGGCTATGGGTCCCCCTTCTTCCAGCTAGAGGTGGTACCCTATATATATTATATATATATATATATATTATATATATATATATATATATATATATATATATATATATATATATATATATATATATATATTATATATATATATATATTACATATATATATATATATATATATATATATATATATATATGTCGTACCTAGTAGCCAGAACTCACTTCTCAGCCTACTATTCAAGGCCCGATTTGCCTAATAAGCCAAGTTTTCCTGAATTAATATATTTACTATAATTTTTTTCTTATGAAATGATAAAGCAACCCTTTTCTCTATGTATGAGGTCAATTTTTTTTTATTGGAGTTAAAATTAACGTAGATATATGACCGAACCTAACCAACCCTACCTAACCTAACCTAACCTATATTTATAGGTAAGGTTAGGTTAGGTAGCCAAAAAAAGCTAGGTTAGGTTAGGTTAGGTAGGTTAGGTAGACGAAAAAACATTAATTCATGAAAACTTGGCTTATTAGGCAAATCGGGCCTTGAATAGTAGGCTGAGAAGTGCGTTCTGGCTATTAGGTACGACATATATATATATATATATATATATATATATATATATATATGGCATGGCAGTGCCATGGTAGACCCAGCACTCAGACCAGCCATGCCGAAAGCCAAGAAACAATCCAGTTGGGACAGCCCCTTTCTAGACAAAGAAGCCACAGCTTTGCTGGAGGCAGCAACAACCCCCAGTGATCATGCACGCTTCACAGCTGTGCAGGCTCCCCATGCAGGGGACTTCCTTTTGGCAGTCCCTATGTCTGCGACAGGCACACGTCTTGATCCACAGGAGCTCCGTATTGCAGTCGCTCTCCGTCTTGCTGCCCCTATCCACACTGTTCATAGGTGTATTTGCGGCGAGGCAGATGCTGACGAATACGGACTGCATGGCCTGCATTGTGGAAAATCTGGTGGTTGGCACACTAGACACGACGAAGTCAATGACATCATTAAAAGAAGCCTTGCCTCTGCTCAGTGTCCAGCGGAGAGAGAGCCCCGCAACCTACTGAACCGTGACTCTGTTAGCTTTGCCGGCCGACCAGACGGAATCACACTGCGACCGTGGAAGGGTGGCAGACAGTTGGCATGGGACTATACTTGTGTATTCACCCTGGCAACCACATACATCAACCTCTCTGCCGGCACAGCAGGAGCCGCGGCAACACGGAGAGAAAGAGACAAGTCAGCCAAGTACAGGCAATTAGATCATCGGTACAACTTCGTTCCAATAGGGTCTGAGACCCTAGGCCCATGGGGAGAGAGTGCAAGAAGGTTTCTTAAGGATCTTGGTTCCAAGCTCATTGACACCACAAGATACCCTAGAGCAGCAAGTTTTCTCTTTCAGCGCCTCAGTGTCGCGATCCAGAGGGGGAATACTCACTGCATCCTCGGTTCCTGCCCGGCGTCGGAGGAGTTCGAGGAAATCTACAGCCTCTAGGAAGCGAACTTTTTTTTGTGTCCTCTTAATGTTAATTTTTTGCATAAAATCAGATATGTAACTGTATAACCTTGCATAATAAAGTGTACACCATAAAAAAGGGGGGTGGTAGGAGAAGCGAACACTCTTACGTATTCAGAGTTAAATGGCAAGTTTTTCCCTGAATGCTCTGTGTTCTCTTCTCTGAGGATGTGGGTCCCTATAATTGCACCAGTGGTGGTACCCCCCTATATATATATATGTATAATTTATATATATATATATATATATATATATATATATATATATATATATATATATATATATATATATATATATATATATATATATATATATATATATATATATATATATATATATATATATATATATATATATATATATATATATATATATATATATAATGTGTGTGTGTGTGTGACCGAAAAGGAAAGATTAATAATTCTAACATGAATTTTCTTAATATGTCTTATGTTTCTCTTCACTATCGAGGGTAATTAAAATATCAATTCTCCACTGGGACGAATTTTGGAAAAAATCGTTGACCTTGTGGACTCAAAACATTCTTTACCAAAGAGTAGTAAATTCTCTTATGTTCAAGGCCAATTATCAGGTGAGGCTAAAACAGTAGTATCCCATCTGAGATTAACTAATGACGGCTATGATCTGGCAGTACAACTCCTCAAAGAAAATTATGTTGATC